GGGGGGTAATTGTCCGGGGGGGGAATGTCCGTGGGGTAAATGTCCGGGGGGTAATTGTCCGGGGGTGATTGTCCGGGGGTATTTGTCCTGATACCATGCAGGTTATGCTTGTCTGCTATACAGCGATTCATAACACACACACGCGTAGGCGCGCGCATAGCATCCATCACATCTACACACGAACTTGCGTATATCTTCTATAGCGACAACAAGTATATGAATGCTCACGTGTGCACATCTGCGTACACGCGAGAACGGACATACACGAGCAAAACTCACAGCATTAGTATAATTAGACCGTCCAGTGTCTCCCATGACAATGTCTTGATGTGGTTATTAGACAGTTTCCTGGAAAGAAAAAAAACGGGTCGATATGCCTCACGACACCAACTGCAAATTTTTTTTAAAACGGGCAACATAAAAGCGTTTGCTCTCGTCCGTACATACTTATCGAACGATAGGAATTTAGCGAGAGATGAAGAGCAATAATTAATCCTGCTCGAAAGTCCGGTAGCTTATGGGCGTTAGTTAATCCTGTCTGCAATATGTGCATGATCTGTTATTTGCAACACTCACAGCATCTGGAGATAGCGGTTGTTCTTGAACGCCTGCGGATCTATTCGTTCCAAGCCGCTGTTCACGATCGTTCTGAAACAACAGGGAATCGTCAGTCGTTACTTGTCGTCGTTGAAAACCACCATCAGATAGAAACTTTGCGCATCGCTTCCTTCCTTTTCCGCCCTTTTCTGTCTGTTTGTTTTCTAAGGCTGAGCTAGGGGCACGGGGAAAATAACCTGTTCGTTGTAAGTGACAACCTTGTCGGTTTTTATATCGCTTTAGGACGAGTTGGTTAGATATTTCAACCGATTCAATTCATTAATCAGTGCATTCAGTTACAGGTTAAACCCTCTGCTGCTTATATCTATCGTAGCACGCCATGCAATTAGATTGATACTGACAGAAGGCGTCCAAATCGCTTCAAGTGGAAATCGTACAATACAACTTTTCCTTTGAAAGGAGTCTATTAATGGCATGGCGTTACCAGCAGCACGGCACACGCAAGATTATCGGAACGGTTCACGCAGTTATAAGCTGGTCTATATAACAGCAACGTGCAGCTATAAACACAACACGTGCCCAATCATTAGTAACAAGCTGGTAATTATGACTTATATCAAAAACGTTGTCGAAGAAATTATACGCTACAGAAAAAAAACTCGGTATTTTCACACTGTTTATCATATATATCCTTCGATTAGAGAGGTTGCTGCCGCTTAACTACGGTCTCGTGAGAAAAACACGCATAGTTTGGTATTCTGGTGATGACTGGCGTGGCATTATAACTAATAGAAGGCTCTTCAAATTAAGCACATCGTTTAATCCTAAAAAACATCTGTCGGTGACATGCACGTATCCCATAACGATAATTACGTTTCATACTCATTACTCAACTCATAATAGCAGTAGCAGTGTATTGATTGCGTGGTTGCAAATGTGATTGCTCACTTGTCTGTCTGTCTGTCTGTCTGTTTTCTTGTTTGTTTATTCGTATGTTTAATCGATTGATTGAATAATCGATTGTTTTTTGATTGATTAATTAAGTAATTGATTGATTGATTGATTGATTGATTGATTGATTGATTGATTGATTGTCTATTTGATGGTTTGCTGGTATGTTTACTTGTCAGTTGGTTATACGTAAATTACATTGTTTAGTTATTCGTCTTTTTTCATTTTTATTTTCATTTTTTCAATTAATTGTATGGTTAATTGGGCGTACTCGAGACTGCGCGTGGGAGTATTACATATTGATTTATATAGTTTTAGATGGATGTTTATTTAAGAAAGTTCTAGTTGCAAAGCTCTAGTGTAAATTGACTCACAGCTGGCGAAGGTTCGTGTAGTTGCTGAACGAGGAGGCCGTGATTTCCGTCAGATTCTCTTGATTTTCTATAAGCCTGAAAATAGAACAAACACCATTAATGGATTTTCCATGTATCTGTAGACATACTGCCTACAAGCCTGGGTATTCATCAACGTGCAATGAGATGCACGTGTTTGAAAATGTTGATGATTTCGCGGTACATCCCACTCTGCAAAAATAATGAACAAACATTATGAGTATAACAATATACAGCTTTTTTGTGAATTTCACAAAATCGCACTAAACGGTTGTTACTACGAACCCTTTCGCAATATTCTCTACTAAGAGTTGTGCCATAACGGACTGGGGGTGGCGTCATCTAACTCTATATGTGTTTCTGTGAGGTGCCAGATGCTCAAATGGTGCCAGGCACTGATAACTACGGTCTATATATTGATCAGAACACCGCAGCGTGAGTGAGATCAGCAATGATATCGAATTAAATTGCCTTTTTGCAAATAAGGCCATGATTGGAAAGCTTCGGTGCGCATAGCATACCTCGGCGATTGTAACGATGAAACGTCTCCGATCTAAATCGGTAGTGTTTCGTATCGTTAATATATACAGACGACGGTCGCACGGTGCCTGTCCCCAATAATAGGTTGAGTGTATAATTAACTCAATTGTGAATGTAAATGCGTAGTGCGAGCGTGAAGACAATACGGGATTCATGAGGAAGAGGCATTATCGTAGCCGGCTAAGCGGGTGTCCCATAAGCCGTATACGCTCGCACTCGGAATGGTGGCATCAAACACGTATAAACATGTGCAGCAGCAGCAGCGATAAAAATATTAACGATGATAGGTATACGTGTCGCTAAAAGCAATTATTTGCGCAGCAAGGTTCCCTTGTACGTAACACAATAGGGGGGTCGTCGGCGCAACAATGCAGTGTCGGAAAGTCGGAAAGACACAAACGCGCATCACTCGGCGATGACACAAACGCCGCGAGCAAAACGATACAGATATACTTAGCCGAAATAGTACAGAGGAGCTGTAGCTATAGATAATATGATGTTGACTCTTGGGGGAACGTAAATGGATTTCTGACATATGACCCGCATCGCAAATCCTGTTGTTGTCCTGCCCGCCGTCCGTTATACGGCTTGCTGCTTGAGTCGGGTAGACAACTGAGGGGAGATTCACTCGATCGCTCCGTAAACGAGCGGCCAGTGTTACATTCATCAATCCATCCATCCATCCATCCACCCATCCATCCTTCCATTCATCCATCAATTCATCCATCCATCCATCCATCCATCCACCCATCTATCCTTCCATCCATCCATCAATTCATATATCCATCCATCCATCCATCCATCGATCCATCCATCCATCCATCCATCCATCCATCCAT